GGAGGTTAAACTTACTTGCCCCAGATAATAAGAGAAAGCTGCTTGAAATGGTACAAAGCCTGAACTACATGCCTTCTTCCCAGAACTGTGAGCAACTAGACTTTCACAGCTTCAAACTAGCAACCTTGGGAAACTAGAGTTAAATATTCCTAAAACAGGAATCTAGTTCTGTTATGAAACTGTTCATCACTTCACCTTCTGACAGCTACAAAAATCAGCAGAACTTAGAAAGGACTCAGAAGATGAGCAAGTCGCATTTTTAATAAAATTCAAATCCAGAGTCTTTGGAGGTTTTTCATTGTTAGCCTCCAGAGCTCACTATTATCAGCAATATTAATACAATTACTGAATAAAAATAGCAGATATGGGAAAACTTTGACCTTTTGCATTACTTCTTTAACTTCCCCTTTTCCCTGGGAAATATTTAATTCTGAACAAGGTAAAGGTAAAAGACAGAAGTTTAGTAGTATCTAAATGGATTTGACATAAAAATCGAAGGATTTTTCCTCAAATGTAAGATACTTGTAACAAAATTAGCATTCTTCATTATGACAGATATTGGTCACTGCTACATACCACAAAATAACTCATGCAACTATAAGAAAATGCAAAATAAAGCATTCCCCAAATTTACCTACTGCTATAGAAATCAACTTCATATCAATAACGGGGACTCAATCTTTATCATCAAGTCTATCATTTTGCTTAAAGAAGTCAAATCAGGGACTCAATCTTTGAACATATCATTCAATTTAATAACACACCTATGAGTTTTGGATCTTAAATCATCTCCCTCAGGCAAAAGGGGTATAATCATATGTTTTTCTACTGGACTGCATTCTTCCAAAAACATTTGAAAGAATGCATCTGTTTTACAAATAAAATAGTCAATACAGAGAGCAGTAACAATAAAAATATATGCCTGTTTTTATATTATTACTGGTTTATAAACCAATCATCTGTAATGCTCTCATCTACAAGGATGGAAAATGATATAGAACTGTTACCAAGGAAACAGTGAAGTAAAACTGCATGTAAACTATCAAGCAGTTTAAGAACCAGAAAATTAGAAGAACAGGAAAAAACATTTCCAGATAGAACCATGACACACTGTGCCACCCACGAAGGATGCAATCAAGGGTCATAACTAACAGATGATATAAAGGGTCCCAACTACTTGCCAGCTATTCCAACAGTTGGCAGCAATTTTTTTTAATGGTACTGGGTTCTTGAGGGGCAATGTGAATTCTGATTTTTCCCACGATTACAAGGGCATAGATTCTGGAAGTAGTTAAATGTAGACACTTTAAAAAGTCAAAATTTGCAGTTTACTTATTCCAGTGTCGATTAATATTCTCTTGGAATTCTCTGTAATTACACTGTCTTTACTCACAGAACACTAAGCAAATATCGCTTCCAATATATGCTTTTTGAATTAACATTTAGAAACTCAAGTTTGCAGGAACCAAAGGCAAGGCCAAGACCCAGGGTAACTACATGTGTTTGCCTCTAAACCAAGAGAATTTTAAGCACTCAAGTAACCACACTGATCAAAGCTAAATCCTTTAGGAAGATTATCCATTCTGAAATCAGGAAAATCCTGCAGTATAAGCACTTTTATACTTCACCTTTGAGAAAAGAACTTGATTTCTGTAACAGTGTTTAAAACATATACAAGATTTTCTTCCTCCCAAGGCAAAATAAGCAACTGCAAACATGTGTTTTTACATGCTGATGACCCGCTAAAGGTATTTCTATCTCAGCTTAGGGACCATCCTTGTGCTCACACTAAGGAAAAGGAAGGATGCTATGGATGGAAGACTTCTTAATCGGCACATCAGCTCAGAACATTTGCACCTTCTGTCTTTAGAATAAACACTCTACTCGATCACATTAAGGATAGAAAGTGAAACTCACACTCATTTACTAAATTTTAAACTCTCTTTAAAATAAGATACTAATCTCTCCACAGCCTGGCTTGAGTTTTGCATAAAACTCAGATTTGTGAATATCAGGTAGGCATCCTAGAATTTAGTAAAAAGAATATAAAACATCTTTTCAATGACACAGTCTTCTCCAAAGCTCCTAAGTTTAAGGACTAAATCAACGCTCTAGATGTTTTGTTAATCTGTTTTTAGCATCTGAGGCCACCAAAAAGTATCCTAGTTACTTTGAACTATACTGTTCGTTGAAGTTCCCTTTCCCTTTAGCAGTATCTCTGTCCATCACACAGAGGGTACCACTCAATCTCTAAACTTGCCCACAGCTGCTTCATTATTTGACAGCTGTTTAGAAACTAGCCCTAGGCAGAAGCATGCAGGAAGTTAATAGAAAAGTGGTGTGAAGCAATGGCCCTCTATAAGATCAGCTTGAAAGCAAACAATTTGCCACACCACATTCAACCACTGCTTAACACATCAGTCTTCTGATCTGCACGACAACACCTCTTCTTCAGCTGCTCTAAGACAAAGGTATTTACCCATCAACTGTGTATCTCCAGTCTACCTAGAGTAAGTTGTGCTGGGCCTGTCTCCCTGGGGAAATCTGCTTGTGGCATGAAGACTGGCCCATGTTAGTAGAGAGGGAAGGTGGAGATGGGCAGGAAGAACAAAGACCTGTAGATGTAGGAAAGAATGGCAACATCCAAACATAACCTTTCTGAAGTGGCCTAAATGGAATTTAATAAAACAAAATCAACACACATTTCTACCTCGGGCTATTGGAAGCTGCTCATCTCTGCCTGATGCAATCAACACATCTCTCTCTGATACTCAGGACTGAAGGAAAACCTGGGATTTTTCTGTCCATATTGCAAGTAAGTTTTTAGGCTACATCCTTGAAAAACCCAACTGTCTACCTCCTATGTCCTGGTAGTAACTGCTATAAAGAACTTCAGGGGCAGAGAAGGTTGGGGGTGGTTTTCTAAGACCAGTCCTATCTGGGTCTTCCCAGTTAATGCCACACAGCAAGAACCACAGACCTTACTCTGGCTCCAGTGAAGATTTTGGAAGCATAAGCAGGGTAGAAGACCCGGAGGAGTGCTCTGGCCAGGCAACACCTAGACGGCCCAAGTGTAGAAATGTTCCTCCTTTATCACTACAAGAAATCTGTCTGAATTGATGATTTAGTTTTAGCTACTGTTTTAACAACACGGCCACTTAGAAGAAAATTTCTAAATCTTTCAAGGCTTAAGAATATAGTTACGGGGGATTAAAAAAAAAAAAGGCTGAAAGTCTTTCTTTTCTATCTCCACTACCTCACCATCTAGGTTACCACTGGAAGCACCTGGTCAGCCTAGGAGCTGACTTTATGGGGGTGTGGAGGTTTAATTTAGGAGTGGGGGGAAGAGCGGCACTTTTGGTCTCTTGAAACGCAGGCACCCAAGCTCCAAGCACTTCTGGCTTTCCCTAGCAGTAGCAATTACAACCACATTCTCTTAGCCCTGAATTATACATGGGACCCCAAGCACTACTGGGGCTTTTCCTTACGGAAAACAAACTGTCGTGAATATCGGCGTGTTGGTGAGGGCGTGTGTGTACCTTTCTGTGTGTGGTCTACACCCGTGGCTACACAAGCCTCACCAGTCAGTGAGAAATAAGTTGAACGTGGCAGCCCCTGGCCACTTCGTTTCAGTCTTATCTTAAACCCCGCCGCGCTTTCCAGCTTTTGCTTCTACCCAGCCTCTCGAAAAATAAGGTACCAACTTGCTGGCGGCAGCGGCCCTGAGTGCAAACGGAACCCGCGCAGCCCCTACCTCGAGAGCTTTGCAATCTTCACAAAGCTGAAGACATCCATGCAGACAGCCGGGGACCCCCGAGCGCGACAACTCCGTTGCCCCTTCTCACGCCAGCAACAGCAGCCTCGGCAGCCCCATGGCCAGGACCTCAGTGCGCCTGGGGCTCGAGTCGCGGCGACAGCGGGTGGCGGCGGCGGCCCGGGAGAGCCTGCACCTGGAGGCGGCGGCTACTACCCCCCTCCGGCCGCGAGCTGCGTGTGCATCCCCGAGCAGGACCATTGATGGGCACCCGCAGCAGGAAAACTCAACGGAGAGGGAGCCAGGCAGGGCGCGAGAGGCGGGGGGCGGGGAGCGCGGCCCGGGTCTCGCGCCCCGCCCCGTGCGCTCTGGCCCCGGGGCGGCTGGGCGTCCAGGGAAGCGAGGCCTGGGCGAGAGGCGCTGCTCTGGCTTCCCGGCCCTCGGAACCCCGTGCCCCGCGCACGGAGGAGCGCAGACGGAGCCAGGAGGCGGCAGGCGAGCTGGGCACACGCGCACGCACCCCTCGCAGCACTGCAGCTGCCTCCCTGCCTCCTTCCCCAAGCCAAGTCCCGACTCCTCTCCCCACCCCCACCCGCCCGGGGGGAGGGGGCACTCTCCTGTCACCCGCTGCGCGTGCCTCCAGATCTAAAGGATCTGGTCTAACAGTCTATGGCACACTGGAGAACTGAGAACGCTACCCCTCCCTCTCCAAGCCGAAAGAGAGCCGTGCAACCGCAGGTTGCCTAAAGCCTCGGTTTGCTCCGTAAACAAAACTAGCAATCGGAAGGAGCAGGGATGATTGAGGCTGGGTCGTTTGTCAAGGGAAAGGGAAGGGAGATGCCCAGCGCAGCGGGTTCGATTTGGGGAGCGCAGAGTTCCCACTGCTTCTCCCGAACCGCGTTGGCGAGACGTGACCACTGGGCTGGCTAGGAAGGTGTGTCTTTGGACAGCAGCACCGCGGGAGTGTCGGCCGAATAAGAACCCGAGGCATTTGCGGGTAGGGGGATGAACACAGCTGCTCCCTCCTTGAGGGACATAGAGCCGAGGGTCCCAGAAGCCCGTGATGCGGAGGCTAATTCTAAGCCGGCTCGTTATCTAAGGGAAGAGGAGGATGAGAATGGGGTCTGGCATGCAGAGCGAGCTGCTTTTGCAAACTGAGCCGTAGGTGAAGGGAACAAGGAAGAAAAAAACAAAACAAAACAAAACCTTGCCGGAGAAGCAAAAACACAGAAACATAAACACTCACCTTAGGCAGAGTAAACTCCAAGTTGCAGCCATCTAGAACTCCTCCTAGCCTTCTCTTTTACATAATTACCTTGGATAATCAGCCCTATTAAATTAACTCAGTTCTACCTCCTGGGTGGCTCAGGCTTCATTGGGCCCCCTTTTCCTCTTCCTCTTGGAGTCTCAAGGCCTCTTCTCCACAATCCTTTAACATTTCCCCCCAGACTGTGAAGGTCAGCTGGCCGCAATAAGTGTGTGCTCTCCCACCGGCAGCGTTCACCTGGCGGCAGGGCCACCGCAAAGAACAGAGAGCACCCCGAGAAACGTTGGAAGATCCAGCCAGTGCTCCAGTCTAGCTCTCTGAAGGGATTAAGAAGGAAATAGGTTTAAAGTTCCCACACTTCTGCTCCTCTCCTGGTGTGTTGTTAAATTTAAAGTCTTCAGTATTCAAGCCTAGTACTAACGCATTGTAATGTTGTTGTTGTTTTTTTTAAGCATTTCTTTCAAAAACAGAACATAAAATAAATAGCAATCTGCAAAATCTAAATGACTTAAAACTCAGGCATAAAATTACATTTTTTTGAATACACAGTTATCAATTTTCCTGCAGCTTCTTTTACACAGGCTAGTTTAATTGCATGAATACAGTTACTAGTCAAGGATCAGAAGAGGCGAGAGAGACCTTGGCTTTTGAACTCTATTGTTTGTAAAATAATTATAGTTTGGGTCTGCACTGTGCTTTGTAATTTTTAAAATAATTTTTTTTTGCATTGGAGTCTCATAGCAACCCTGTCATATAAGTAAGGCAATATGTTTAGAAAAGAGAAATCTTTTATTTTTATGCCTTAATCTATTCTCAACATATGAGACAAAGAGACGGTTGTGTGTGTGTGTGTGTGTGTGTGTGTGTGTGTGTTTAATATGGATCACATAAGGTTACTTGTCTGATCTAAACTATGCAGAAGCTCTCCATTCTCTGTCAAGCTAAAGTTGCACTCCTGCAAGGACCAGCAAGACCCTAGGTCCCTCATTCTTTGATCTCTCTTACCTCAACTATTACTGCCCACCTCCCTCTCCCCTTTTTCTCTGTTGCTCCTCATCTCCCATCCTGAGCCCTGCCTCCCACACACACATACATTCACTGGGCTCCAGCAATTCTGGCCTCCTTGCTGTTCTTCAAACTCCACAGGTATCTTCCCACCTTAGGCTCTTTGCAATGGTTGATCCCTCAGCTTGGAATGCTCTTCCCTGGGATATCTGCATGGCTGGCTTCTCCACCCTGTCAAATCTATGCACCAATACCATTTCCAAAAAGCCCCCTCTAAAAAACCTGTTTAAAATTGCAAAAGGCTCTCACACCCTGGACTCCAAGTCCCTATTAACTGTTTTATTCTTTTTTCTTGTTTCCATAGCACTTATCACCCACTAGCACATTATATAATTTATTTTTATCTTTAGGATTTTTTTTGTCTGAATCTCCCTCTGGAGCTCCACAAGGGCAGAGATTTTTGTTTTGTTTTGTTTTTGTTTTTCACTGATGGATCCCCAATGCCTAGACCACTTTTCCAGATGTAGAAGTAACTTAAGAAATATTTGTTAATGAACAAATCATATGCCCATTGGAGTCACAGCCAAATCAAAGCTGGCCAAGTATCCCCAGTGTGTACTGATCTCTGTATGACTTCATGGCTTATGTCTGTCCCTCTCCCTACCCATCCATGTACCCAGAATCCTTCAACCTACTTTGGACTGAGTGTTAATGATGGCAACAAAGGTCTTCTTAGATTCTCTAGTTATTTTTTCCCTTCACCTTTTCTATCTTTCCCCAAAGAGATTTGCCACCAACACGTTCCCATTCCCTCATCTCTGAGTCAACATCTGGCAGCACAATACCACCTCATGACTGGGAAAACGGGATAAAATACTGCCTTTGGAGAATGTGTTTTGAAAAAGTGCTTCCTTCTGAGAACAGAACAGTTGGGATGCTCTTTTTAAAAGCATAACTCTATTTATCAAGAATTATTCCAGATACTAAATAGCTAATTATTCAACAGTGAAAGTGACAGGAAATAGACATTGTGTTTACTGAGAGAGAGAGAGAGAGAGAAAGAGAGAGAGCCTCCCTTCAAGACATCTGGTCTACCTGGAACAGCTTGCTGTTGGCCTTCTCCCTGTGCCAATTTGTGCGCTACTGTTATGAATGGTGCAGATGCCATCTCTCCACAGCATAATAGCTATTAAGGGAAATGACTGACTTCTACAGGTCTTTACACACCTCTCATATAGTAATTATTTAGTATGTTTTCTAATGGATTGATATTGTTTTCTAAAGCAAAGAGATTCCACCCGTCCTCCTTTGTTTCTCATTAATATAACAATAGAAGAACAAAAGAGCCCTTGAAACATGCTAACACAGTGAGATTTTATCTTTAAGCCATCTTGGCAGAGGGGCAGAGATTGAAGTAGTCGGTCTCTCAGCCCTGTCCCCTCTCCGTGACAGGCGTATGCTGCAAAGGTTAGGATAGATTTATTTAGCATGAAATAGATCTGCCTAAAACAAAAGCCAAAAAGTGGAATCCTGAGTACATATGTGGTTGTCTGAACTTTTCTTATCAACCTGGATAATCTTTAAGGCTCCTTCTAGAGCTTGTAGGGATTTACTAATCAGAAACTGAATTATCCAACCTTGAGAATCTACTTAATTTGCTTTACTTCGGCTCAAGTGACATTTGGTCATTTCTGAAAACCAGACACACTTTCAAACACTGTTGAAAGTATTCATGAATAAAACATTCAGGGTCACGAGATGCAGAGAAAGTCCTATAACTTCTCTGAGACTCAGTTTCCTCAGCTGTAAAATGGAAATGATAATACATCTCTACCTTATACAAAATGAGCACTTAAAGTTGGGCACCAGTTTACAGTTGGCTACATATGAGTTGAGGCACATGAATGTTAGCTCTAGAAGGATTTCCACAACTGTCTACAGACCTGGCAGTACTGGTAGGAAAAGTTTCAGCCTCTAAAATGACTACTTTGGAGGCCCAACATTTGCTTTGATTAATCAGAGGTGGGCACTTTTGCCTCAAAATCAAACGCTTTCTTGCCTGGGCTGTTACTAAAGCCCTAAGCTGTGGTATCTTTTATGCCCTGGAGGATTCTCAGGAGGAAGCATGAGGAATTTCTTCATCATTGTTAAGGCCTTATCTAAAGCTGGTGTTAGCAATCTGCTATTGGGCCAGATGTTCCATGTAGGATGGCAGCTGAGGGTTCTTTTGCTGCAAATCACAGTAGAGAGAGCCCCAAGCATTTCTCAGCTGGACTATAGCATCTCGACCATCTGGTCTCAGTCCTGAAAACAGAAGTAAATTAATAACAGCAAGGTATCCGTTCAATCAACAAATATTTATGGACTGTCTCCTATGTACCAGGCACTGGGAAATAGACTCGGCAACAAGGCAAGTCTCTGCTCTCATAGAATTTATATTTCAAAGAGGAGATAGATGATAAACAACAAAATCAGAAATTGTCATGAACAAGAAAATAGCAGATAGCAATGTGCAGAGAATTAAAATTCTTCTGATGGAAAGGGAATGGCTAGGAGGCTATTTGCTATTCAGTGGTTCAGGAAGACTTCTATAAGTAGGCGACATTTAAACTGAAATATGAAGAACAGGAAGGAGGCTGCCACACAAAATTCCTATGGAACAGCATTCCATGCAGAAGGAACAACAAGGATAAAACAAGGATGAAGCCCTTGAGGCGGGAACAATGATTGTATGTTTGAAGAATCAGAAGGCAACCAGTGTGACTGAAGAGTAATGTATTAAATGAAGTGAGAGTGAGTGAATTTGCAGGGCAAGAAGGTTGAGATCACATGGGGCATAATACGCCAGTATCAGCTGTCTGACTGGTAAAGTAAGATGGGAAGGCATATGAGGATTTTTAGCATGGAAGTGGCCAAATCTGACTTATGTTTTGAATGACCACTCTTGAGGGAAATGAGTGTGAGGGCAGGGAAATTACTGATTTAGGAGCCTGCTGCAAGAATCCAGGCAAGAGCTCGCAGCAGCTCAGAGAGGACATGACAAGGAAGTGGTGAAAAGTAGCCAGGCTCAGGATATGTTTTGAACAGGAAATGGTGATGGGTTAGATGTGCATGGTAGGGAAAGAGAGGAATAAGAGAAAACTAATTTATTTGTATTATTTATGAAATACACTGGTTCGATCACATGTGGTGACTCATGCCTATAATCCCAGCAGTTTTTGAGGCTGAGGTGGGAGGATCACTTGAGCCCAGGAGGTTGAGGCTGCACTGAGCTGTGATCATGCTACTGCACTCCAGCCTGAGCAAGAGTGAGACCCTATATGAAAAAAAATAAAGAAATACCATGGTTCCCTTTTCCAGATATAGAACATACAAAAACAAGAAGGGTTTGGCTGGGTACACTGGCTCAGGCCTGAAATCCCAACACTTTGGAAAGCTGACGTGGGAGGATTGTTTGAGGTCAGGGGTTCGAGACCAGGCTGGGTAACATAGTGAAACCCCCATCTCTAAAAGTTAACATAAAATAATTTTTTAGAAACCAGAAGAGTTTTCCCTCCCTCTGGCTAAAGTCCTCTGCCATTCCTCCTGTTCCTCTTAATAACCTCCAATGCTCTAAAAGCTAACCCTTCTATGATTCTCCTCTCTCTTGCCTGCTCAAGGCCCTCATTCTAGCACTTACTGTCTCTTTTTCCTATATCAGTGTTTTATTTTTAATTTTATGCTAAACTGTTGGACCATTCCCATGTGCATTCAAACATGATGCTCTTTATCCAATCTTTAAAATATCTCCTAACTCCCACCCCATCTCCTGTCAGCTAAATCCCAGTTTTCTGCTTGCCTTTATGGCAAATCTCCAAAAATTCTCCATTTGCTGTCTCCTACTGTATGTTGAATCTACTCCATCCATGTTTTCTTTTAACCCTTACAATCAGAGTACAAGGTGATACCCTACATGGAAACTGTTCTTGTCAGTGTAACCAGGGACTCCACGTAGCAAAATCTAACAGCCAATGCTCAGTCCCTATCAACACAGTTGACCATTCTCTCTTCCTTTAAATATTTTCTTCACATGTCTTTGGGGACACCACATCTCGTGGTTTTTTTCCTTCCTTGCTGTTTGCTTCTTCTTAGTATTTTCTTTGTTACTCTTCTATCACTGTATGTCATCTTGCCAACCTCTAAACCCTGGAATGTGCCAGAGGTCAGCTAGTTTCTTCTCTTTAAGTATCTCGGCTTACTTCCTAGGTGACAACATTGAGTTTTATGATGCTTAATATTATCTATATGCTGACAAATCCCACATTTCTGTCTCTGGCCTAGATCCAGACCACCCACTCAACATTTCCATCTAATGTCTAATAGGCACCTTGAAGTTAACATAGCCTAAAACTAATTCCCATAGAGAAGACTCCTGCATATATTCTTTTCCATCCCTGGAAATGCCAATTCCATCCTTCTAGTTGCTTAGCTCCAAAATCCAGGAGCCACTTTTAACTTTTTTTTTTTTCCTCCTAAACCTCACCTAAAACTGATCATCAAATCATTCAGACTGACCTCCAAAATAGATCCGCATTATTTATATATCCTCCCAACTCCACCACAACCATTTACATTCAAGCCTCCATTGTCTCTCTCCTGGATAATTGCAGTGGCTTACTAGCTGCTCTCCCTGCTTCCCTCATTGTCCCTTCTTTTGTTACTTTTCACCTTGTGTGCATGTCTTAATATTCTATAGGCTGGGAGAGGGACTAGGAGTTGGAGAGCCAGAGAAATTGGTTTCAAATATTATTGTTTTCATCAGTATTCAATAAAGAGATGAATCATTACTGTACATTTGTAAGTTTTGAGTTTTCTAAACGTTTTTATTCCTTTATATCTGGAAATTGTCCTGTAAGTTAGAGAGGAAACTTATTATTATCACATTTTAGGGATGACAAAAGGTGAGACCAGAAAAGCTAAGTGATGACAATAATTCTTACTACGTATGAGGATCATTATATTATAAGAAGCATTGTTTCCTGGGGATTTATCTAGCATCATAAGGGGAACTTTTGAATATAGATTTGTGGAATCAAAATGTCTAAAATTCTACCAGTATAATTCAGTTTTTTTTTCTCTCATATTTGATTGTTCTAAGGGAGATTCAAAAATTTTAAATGCCATATGGGGCATAAGAAAGAGCAACAGATAGGCACCAGGATTTCTTGGTATGATTCCAAAATCTGTAAATACAAGTGACCCTAAGAAATCATTTAACTTTTCTTACCATTAACTTCCTCATTTGTAAGCTTTATAGGTAAAAATAAATGTGCATGTCCTTTTCTCGTTTCCTTCCCCTTCTGATGCAATGCAGATACACAAGTGAATCTTCCTAAGGACCAAGAGATGTATAATAGTTTGAGATTCTATATACATTGGTAATTCTGTAATCAAGAAGACTATGTTCTATAGGAACAAATTCAATATCAGAAACTTTTACCAGTCAACTGTATATCTATAAAATAGACAATGATTAGCTCAGCCCCCTAGCAGCTGACCTTTATTCAAGGTTAAGAATGACATTTGCTATATGGGCCTTTCCCTGGGCCTTATTAGGTCACTTAACTTCCTTTCTTTCTTTATCCCCACCCTCCCTCACCCATTCTCCTCAGGCACATACCAAAAGTCTGCCAATGTAGGATTATAATTACTGCTTTCCCACTGAATCTCCTCTTGTCTGATGAGGTATGGAAAGGCACGGGGAGGAGGTCATTTAAAAGATTCTGCTAGTGTATAATTTTCAGGCTATGAATTCTTAATGTGACATACCCTGTAACAATATTTTGAATTCTTATGCAACATTAAAAAAACCTATAAAGCTTCATATTTGTCTGAGACATATTTTAATATTTCAAACTCATTTTAAACCTTTCAGATCCGGACTCACTTTTATGCTGTCTTTCTGACATAATGTTCCTTCACCTTGGCCCCCCGACTAGACAAAAACTAATCAAATCATGTTGAATAACAGCACTTCTGCTTGATGGATAAATTGCTCTAGTCCTGAAGACTATTATAAGGGTGAACTTTAAGGAAGATGTATGTACAAAAACAGCAGACTTGAGATCAGTTATTTCAGATTTTTGAAGTCTCATTCATAAATTATTATTTTACTTATTAATTCATTCAATTAATATTTATTGAACATCTACCTATGCTATCTACTATATACTAGGCATTGTGGAGAGGGAATGAAGATGAAGACTTGACGCCTGTTCTCAAGGACTGTAGCACACACTGGTGCCTACTCTTTTCATGTGGAAATGAAGTTTCTTCTCAAAACCACCTGAGGACGCACTTCCCATCCAGTATCCAGTACTCCCTTCCTCCTTACTGCTTCCTGTCTCTAAATGAGGTCATCAAGCCTTAAGCTATATTTATCATCTTGCAACCATGAGGCAACAGGCATGAAAATCAAAAGTCAAGGTCTTGAAAACAGTGGGGTAGAAGCCAGGGGGCTTGGCCCTGGAATGTATTGTTAAGTCAAAGAACAACTTAGAATGTTGTCCTTCAGATTCTCATTTTATGAGATAATTAATCTTCCCTACCCCTGCCTTCTCTCTCTCTCTCTTTCTCTCTTCCTGTCTCTCTTTTTCCATTTAAGCCAAAGATAATCAGGTATTTTGTTACTTGCAGCTGAATGAACGCCTAATTGATGCAGAGGGTTAACAATTAGTTGTGAGAGGATGGAATAACATTATTTCTCAAAAACCTATAGAGAGATTTAATAAGGCAACCATATAAATAAATAGAGTATAAGATAGATAATCATTATGATGCCCCACATTGGTATAATGCTTTAAAGTTTAGAAGGTTTCTGCATGTGTCATATCAGGCTTTACAATAATCGTATGGGACAGGAATTATTGCCTCTAATTTACAAATAATAATACTGAGGTCCTAGGAAGTTAAATGATTTGCTAGAGACCAAACAACAAGCAAACTGAAAGTAGAAGTCCTCAAACACATGTATCCTAATTTCCAATTTACTAAGTTTTCAACTATAGCAGAGCTACCTCACTCAGCATAATGTCCATGGGTCTGAGCAAACTGTGAGAGGTGGAGATAAGAGGATGGCTATCCATGAATTTTGTTCAAAGGAAGGAGCTATACTGAGCCTGGAAATAGGAGAAGTCTCCCAAAGAAGGGGAGCTGATATAGTTTGGCTGTGCTACCACCCAAATCTCATCTTGAATTATAGTTTCCATAATCCTGTGTTGTGAGAGGGACTTGGTGGGAGGTGACTGAATCATGGGAGCAGTTACCCCCTTGCTGTTCTCATGATAGTGAGTTCTCATGAGATCTGATGGTCTTATAAAGCACTTTCCATCCTTTGCTTGGCACTTCTCTGTCCTGCTGCCTTGGAAAGGATTATTTACTTCCCCTTCTGCCATGACTACAAGTTTCCTGAGGCTTCCTCTGTTATGCAGAACTGTGAGTCGATTAAACTTATTTTTTTTTATAAATTACCCAGTCTTGAGTATTTCTTCATAGCAGCATGAGAATGGATTAATACAGCAAATTGGTACCACAAATAGTAGGGTGCTGCTATGAAGACACCTCAAAATGTGGAAGCTACTTTGGAACTGGTTAATAGTCAGAGGTTGGAACAGTTTGGAAGACTTAGAAGAAGACAGGAAGATGTAGGAAAGTTTGGAACTTTCTAGAGACTTGTTGAATGGCTTTCACCAAAGTGCTGATAGTGATATGGACAATGAAGTCCAGGCAGAGGTAGTCTCAGATGTAGATGAGGAAATTGTTGGGAACTGGAATAAGGGCAAATCTTCCCATGCTATAGCAAAGAAACTGGCAACATTTTGCCCCTGCCCTAGAGATCTGTGGAACTTTGAAATTGAGAGCGATGATTTAGGGTATCTGGCAGAAGAAATTTCTAAACAGCAAGGAATTCAAGAGGTGAATTGGGTGCTCTTAAAAGCATTCAGTTTCATGCATTTACAAAGTCATAATCTGGAATTGGAATTTATGTCTAAAAGGGAAGCCGAGTATTTGCAGCCTGACAATGTGATAGAAAAGAAAAACCCATTTTCTGGGGAGAAAGTCAAGCCCACTGCAGAAATTTATGCAAGTAATGAGGAGCCAAATGTTAATCACCAAAAAACAATGGGGAG